ATAATCTCGCAGGTAAAAGAAGAAATGATAAAAGAAATGAAGGAGATTCTGAACATATCTAAAGAAGACACACTTAAAAAACTTGAAGAGATAAACAAAAGGATAGAATCCCTGGATGAACAATATAAGAAACAAACAGAATACATAATGCAGATGCAAAGAGATATACAAGAAATCAAAAACTCCATTGAAAGTTGTAAAAACCACCTCAAAGAATGTGAGGATAGAATTTCAGACCTTGAGGACAAGATTTCAGCCAGTGAACAGGAAAGGAAAGATATTTTAAAAATAACAAGAAATCAGGAAATAACAATTCAATACCTGCAAGATGATGCAAAAAGGAACAACATAAGGTTAATAAGGATAAATGAAAAAGAAGGGAACAACATAAAGGATGTCAAGAGGATATTGAGAGAAGTAATAGCTGAAAATTTCCCAAACATGGGACTGGAAACCGATATCAAGATCAGTAAAGAATATAGAACTCCAAATAGCCATAACCAAAATAATACTACACCCAGACACATAGTAATGGCCATCCCAGAAATTGAACAAAAGAATAGACTATTAAAAGCTGTAAGAGAGAAAAGACAGATCACCTATAAAGGAAAACCTATCAGAATCACAGCAGACTTTTCAGTACAAACAATAAAGTCAAGAAGCACATGGAGTGAAATATTTCAGATCCTAAAGGAAAATGATTTCCAACCTAGGCTGATGTATCCTGCAAAACTGTCTTTCAAAATGGATGGAGAAATAAGATACTTCCATGACAAAGAACAGCTGAAAAACTACATGATCACCAAGCGAACCCTGCAAAGAATACTGAAAGCCTAGATGCATCTAGGAAAAAACCACTAAACAAAGTAGACAATTAAACAGAACCAAAAGACAAAGATGCAACAGCAGAAAGATAACATGTCAAGAATAAACAATATGTAACAGTTATAACCATTAATGTAAATGGTCTCAATGCACAAATTAAAAGAAACAGACTGGCAGAATGGATCAAGAAACAAAATCCAACCATATGTTGTCTACAAGAAATTCATCTAACCCAAAAGGATACCCACAGAATGAAAGTCAAAGGATGGAAAACAATACTTCATGCAACAGGAACCAAAAAAATAGCGGGAGTGGCTATTCTGTTTGCAGACAATGTGAACTTCAAGCCAATAATGATCAGAAGGGAAAAAGAAGGTCACTACATACTGGTAAGGGGAAAACTCCAAGAGGAAGAGATACCTATCTTAAATATATATGCACCAAACTCCAGAGCACCCAGTTATGTGAAACAAGTACTAACAGAAATGAAAAACCAAGTTAACAGTGACACAATTCTAACAGGAGATCTTAACACAACATTGACACCAATGGACAGAACAACCAGACAGAAAATCAGCAAAGAAATAAAAGAACTAAATTGCACCTGTGAACAAATGGACTTAATAGACATATACAGAGTATTCCACCCAACAACAACAGAATACACATTCTTCTTAGCAGGACATGGGGCATTTTCTAAAATAGACCATATATTAATACACAAAATATATCTAAATAAATGCAAAAGGGTTAAAACCATTCCTTGCATGCTATCGGACCATAGCGCTATGAAATTAGAAATTAATGATAAAAGATACACAAAATTACCACAAACACATGGAAACTGAATAACACACTCTTGAGTAAGCAGTGGGTCACAGAGGAAATCAAAGAAGAAATTAAACACTACCTACAAGAAAATGAAAACGCAAATACAACTTACCGGAATCTGTGGGATGCAATGAAAGCTGTCCTCAGAGGAAAATTTATAGCACTGAGTTCACACATCAGGAAAACAGAACGAAAACAAATAAATAACCTGATGTTACACCTCAAACATCTAGAAAAAGAAGAGCAAGTCAAGCCCAAAGCCAAAAGAAGAGAAGAACTTATAAAAATCAGAGCAGAAATCAATGCAATAGAGACTAAAAACAATCCAAAAAATAAATGAATCAAAGAGTTGGTTCTTTGAAAGAATAAATAAAATTTATAAGCCCCTAGTCAACCTTATTTTTAAAAGGGAAGAAAAAGCTCAAATTCATGCAATGAGGAATGAAAGAGGAGAAATCACTACAGACCCTATAGAAATACAGAAAATCATCAACACCTATTTCAAAAACTTCTACTCTCAAAGGTTTGATAACACAGAGGAAATGGACAGATTCCTAGAAGCATATGAAGTACCAAAGCTAGGTCATGAAGATGTAAAACTACTGAAGAACCCAATTTCTACAAATGAAATCAAAACCGTAATTAAATCCTTACCTACAGAGAAGAGCCCAGGCCCAGATGGATTCACTGCAGAATTCTACAAGAAATACAAAGAAGACCTAATGCCAACACTCCTCAAACTATTCAATGAAATTGAAAGGGAAGCAATCCTTCCTAAGTCATTCCTGGAAGCAAATATCACTCTAGTACCAAAACCTGAGAAAGACCCAACTAAAAAAGAGAACTATAGACCAATCTCCCTAACGAACACAGATGCAAAAATCCTCAATAAAATATTGGCAAATAGGGTGCAGCAAATCATCAGGAAGATCATACACCATGACCAAGTGGGATTCATCCCAGGTATGCAGGGATGGTGCAATATACATAAATCAATAAATGTAATACACCACATCAATAGAGCCAAAAGTAAGAATTACATGATCATTTCTATAGATGCGGAAAAAGCTTTTGATAAGGTCCAACATTCATTCATGATAAGAACCCTGCAGAAAATTGGAATAGATGGTCTTTTCCTCAATATAATAAAGGCCATCTATGACAAACCAACAGCCAGTATCATACTAAATGGCTAAAAATTGAAGGCCTTTACTTTAAAATCAGGCACAAGACAAGGATGTCCCATATCACCGCTTCTATTGAATATAGTACTGGAAATACTAGCCAGAGGAATTAGACAAGGGAGAGAAATAAAAGGCATAAAGATAGGAAAAGAAAAAATTAAGCTATCATTATTTGTAGATGACTTGATACTCTATATAGAAGATCCCCAAAACTCCATTGAAAGACTCCTAGATAAAATAAATAAATTTAGTAATGTAGCTGGCTATAAAATCAATACTCAAAAATCAATAGCATTCCTATAAATTAACAACAAAGTCACAGGAAGACAAATAGGAGAAACCACACCATTCACACTAGCGACCCAAAAAATGAAATATCTAGGAATTACTCTCATGAAAGAAGTGAAAGACCTGTGCAGGGAAAATTATATTACACTGAAAAATGAAATTGAAGATGATCTCAGAAAAAGGAAAAACATTCCTTGCTCATGGATAGGAAGAATACATATTGTGAGAATGGCCATTCTCCCAAAACTTTTATACAGATTCAATGCAATCCCGATAAAAATACCACCAACATACCTCATATAACTCGAGAAATCACTCCTAAAATTCATCTGGAGTGAGAATAGACCTAGAATAGCACAGACAGTTCTAAGCAGCAAAGGCAAGGCAGGAGGTATCACAATTCCTGACTTGAAATTATACTACAAAGCAACCATAGTAAAATCAACATGGTACTGGAACAAAAACAGAGCTGAAGATCAGTGGAATAGATTGGAAGATACAACCACAACTGCAAACACACTCAACCACCTTATCTTCGATAAAGGGGCCAAACATGTTCACTGGGAGAACAACAGTCTCTTTAATAAATGGTTCTGGAAAAACTGGCTCTCCATGTTGAAAACTAAAACTAGACCCATGCCTATCATCATGTACTAAAATAAAATCTAAATGGATCAAAGATCTAAATATTAAAACAGAAACACTAAATCTATTGGAAGACAAATTGGGTAAAAATCTTGAAGATATAGGAGTAGGCAGAGAATTCATGAACAGGACTCAAACCACATGGGAAATACTACCCAGAATCAATAACTGAGATCACCTCTTATTAAAAAGTTTCTGCACGTCAAAAGAAGTCTCCAGCATGGTGAAAGGAAAACCCACAAACTGGGAAAAAATCTTAGTGAACTGCCCCTCAGACAAAGGACTTCTGTCTAAAACATATAAAGAATTTTAAAAAATCAGACCCCCAAATATCAAAGACCCAATCCAAAAATGGACATCTGAGATGAATAAACAATTCTCAGATGAAGAAATACAAATGGCCAATAAATATATGAAAAAATGTTCATCATCATTGGTCATTAGAGAAATGCAAATCAAAACCACACTGAGGTTTCATCTCACTCCTGAAAGAATGGCCAAGATCAACAAAACCACCACCAACAAATGCTGGAGAGGCTGTGGAGAAAAAGGAACTCTCCTGCACTGTTGGTGGGAGTGTAGACTAGTGCAACCATTGTGGAGGTCAGTCTGGAGATTTCTCAGAAAACTAGGACTAGAAGCCCCATATGACCCAGCTATACCACTTCTAGGCATATTCCCAGAAGAACTGAAAGCATCATACCACAGTGATATGAGACCATACTCATAAGTGGAATAAATCAAACTCACATGTATAAATACTGAATAGTTTCCCTAATGTAAGAAATGATAAGAATACATAGAAGTATGTGGTAATCATGATTCCCAATCATATTGGTTTGAAGCCATATAATGTTTTCACTCATTAACCACAATGGTTTTAACCTGTGTTGTTCGATTTTAGTATCTATGATAGCATGAATAGCTATTTTGAAGAAAGCAACACAACATAAAAGCTAGTGCTGATTTAATATCGTCTTGTTTTGAAGTCCCATCAAGCTTTAGTACGTCTGTTTCCACTGTTTTTAACATGTTGTATCTTAGTATGTTACACTATATGCTATAGTATAAACAAAATTGTTTATAGGCAAAGAGATAATGTAGAAACCATTGTTTGTTTCCTATTAGCAGGTTCTAAATACCCTGTTGATCTGGCCTGCAGATCAATCCATGGGAAATTCCTGAAGGGGGAACTGGGATTAAATAAAAGACATAGGGGAGAAAAAGAGAGATGAAAGCAAGTCGAAATAATCCGATCAAGCCTCCGTTTATTCAGGAAATGATCACATCTTTTATAGGCCAAGGGCAGGAGGTGGGACAGGAAGAGGTTAAAGGGATGAATACAACAGGGTCACCGTCACATCCGGGTATGTGACGTAAGCAGGAGAGGATTATGGTTAATGTAGGCAGATGCAGTGCCCATAGGGGAGAGAGAGGCAGGGAGGCAGCAATGGGCTGTCGAATGGCTCCCTACATCTCCTCCCTTTTTATATTATTTAATCAAGAGTATGGCAGGCCCAGCCGGACAGCGTCTGTCTTAGGTCAAGGACCTCATTGCATGAACCCAACCAGGCCTTACCCATCATGGGCTTGCAGAACAGCAGTTGTTCCTGTGCCTGTCTTAGGTGGATGTTGGAATTAACATGCATTTCCTAGTTGCCTGTCTCTGACTGCCTGTCCATTGCCTCAGGGCAGTTAGGCCGCATCATCATATGGGCCACTCGTGGGAATTCCTTCCCGGTAGGTTTGTTGATCTGCCATCTCCAGCTGATGATAGCGTACCTGAATGGGCTTTGCCATAAACACATCTATCCGGTTATTAATGAATATCATAATCCTCTGAAAAATACAAGGACTCACAGAAAGGAGAAGCAATAGGGCAGCTAGGAGACCCAAAAGGGGCGCTAGGTAAGGGAAAAACTCCCCCACACACACATATTGAGGAGAAGGGGTTGACAGCCATTTATTGGTGTCTCTGTATGAAGTCATTCTCCTATGTCTTGGAGCATGTCTCGCATAACATTGGACACAGTCTATTTGACTGGTATATGTTTCTCTAGACCGAGAAGAGCATCTTCCGCAGTCATGGGGTTCTGTGCATGGCTGTCAGCAGTTGTAGTCTGTTTGGCAGGGGTCGAAATCCACCATGGGTGTGGTATGGCTCAAGGAGAAGGCTGAGTAGGCAGCATAAGCCTCCAAGGAGTTGTGTCACCTGTAAGGGAACATAGGGGATTGTGCCTCAGGAAATGACATTATTCCTGGGTGTTGCATGGGGTCTTTGAAGAACTGTCTACTTGTTTTAGGAGGCGTTCAGGTAGCCATCTAGCTTCTCTATCTTGTTGAGAGTAAACACACACTGAACCTCATCACCAGATAAGGACTGGGTCGGGGCCTTTCCACACATTGGTTAGTGGGTCTCTCCATAAAATAGATGCAAACCGTGTTTGAGTTTGAGTATGCCAAAATCGAGATGCTACAGAGCAGCCTGAAGCATCCAGGGTCAGAAAATTTAAAATAAAAAGAGCATGTGAAAGGACAATTCTAGGGGACCCCCGGGTGGGGTACCATGTCTCCCTTTTTATTTTATCTATGGTGAATTTAAGGGAATGATGCGCACATTCAACCATGCCTTGTCCCTGAGGATTATAAGGTATACCTGTGGTGTGGAGGATATTAAGGCTCTTGCAAAACTGAGCGAAGGAGGTACTGGTATAGCCAGGGCCATTATGGGTCTTGAGCTGTTGAGGACATCCCAGAACTGAGAAGGCTGACAGCATATGGGCTATAATGTGTCTGGCAGCTTTTCCAGTCCGGAGAGTGGTGAAAATGAAGCCACTATATGTGTCAATAATGACAGGTACATATTTTAGGTTTCCAAACACATTGAAATGAGTAACATGCATTTGCCATAAGGTGTTAGGGATTAAACCTCTTGGGTTGACTCCTAAGTGTTGAACAGGTAAGTGGATAGCGCAAGAGGGGCAATTTTTTACAATTTGTCTGGCTTGCTCACGGATAATTTTTTTTTTTATACATATGGTAGATTTTATGATGTCATTTGTTGTAGTCAGGGGTTGCAAGGAGAACAATTACATACAGGACACATAATTTATAGTATCACTTTATGACAGTCACCCAGAGTCAAATACAACAAAGTGCAGGAAACCTGTCCATGCACTAAAGACTTAAGGAATTCAGCCAAGGACCTGGATTCCACAGCAATGTCCTGCATGAGTCCAGCTGAAGACACAGAGCCCATGATGATGTTCCCCACAAGTCCATCTGGAGGCCCAGAGCTGATGACAATGACTCACGTAAGTCTGTTTCATGGATCTGCATTAGAAAGGCCCAAAGATCAGTGGTGGAAGCTAGAAAGTCTATGCCAGCGGGGTGAAGGATCTGGCTCATGGATAATTTTGTAGAGGAGGCAGAGGGTGTGAGCATTGAGGTCGTGCAGCTGATGGGCCTGTTGGGTCTCAGACACCTTGGAGTCATGAGTCATAAAAACCTGTGCTTGTACAGCAACATCAGCCAAATGATTTTCTCGGGGCCCAGGGAGGTTGGAATGGGCCCGCAGATGACCAATAAAGAACTTATTACAGCGAAGCCATATGAAGTGTTGCAATTGTTTGAACAGATTTGCAGCAGGGAAAGCATGACAGATGGTAGCAACAGTCTCCAATAATGGAACAGACTGAGCAAGGTAAGCACTGTCAGTATACAAATGAAAGGGTCAGTCGGAGTAAGCGGCAAAGGCTGCAAGAATAGCCTGTAACTCTGGTAATTGGGCAGAGGAAGTGTCTGCCTGGAGGGTAGAAACATTGTCTTGAGATACATAAGCAGCCCTTCTGGAGGATGAGCCATCAGTGAATAACACCAGGGCCCCTGGAAGGGGTTGTGAAGCTGTGATCTTAGGGAATACAAATAGGTGACGATTAGCAAAGTCAACTAGCTTATTTGGAGGGTAATGATTGTCAATAGTCCCTAAAAAGGAAGCTAAGGCAACAGGCCACACTTCCGTAGTCTGAAGTAGCCAATCTATTTGGTCTTTTGTAAAAGGTTGAATGATAATGTCTGGTTCTTTGCCAAAGTAACATTTTCCTTGCTTTCTACCCTGAATTTTTAGGTCTGAGACAGCCTGGAAATAAGGCAGGAGTGTTCTTTGTGGGGAGCCTGATAAATGGACCCACACTGATGTGGCGGAAGTGAGGCAAGCGCCATTTTGAGAGCATCACGAGGCTTGCCGGAGGCAGGCGCTATCTCAGGAGCACTATAAGGCCTTGTGGGACTGTCTCCTCAATCAGAGGATCTGCATGCCTCTGGGCAAGCAGCTCAGAGATTAAATTCCAATATGCAAAGGTGGTCACTGGAAACTTTTTTTGGACCAAAAACTCTATAATAATCTTTTAAAGCATCTCTTACACTTTTCTACCTCTTGTTATCTATAGAACCCTCTAGGGCAAACCTTATGGATAAATTAAAAATACTACAATAATTCTTTTTTTTTAACCCTTACCCTTCTTGTCTTTAATGCCTTTATAAGGCCTCCTACGAACAGTTCGTGTTTGTTCAATGCTTGACATATGTCCAGGAAAGGGAATGGGGTCGCCGTTCACTCACCATGACTGGGCAGGACGCTGGGTAGTAGTCTGCACAGGCCTTGGTACTTGATTTAATGTCCTGTTGCTTTAAGCTTTAATCCTTGATTCAGTTTGCTCACTCCTCGGCCCAGGGCTCTGGTTCAATTTAGTTTCACTTTCAGTTTAAGCTGGCTGTCTCTCAAATGGCTCCCTAGTTAACTCCTCCATGCCAGGAGCCCCCATGCTGAGTGCCACTTGATCGGGGCTGCAGTCAATCCATGGGAAATTCCTGAAGGGGGAACAGGGATTAAATAAAAGACATAGGGGAGACAAAGAGAGATGAAAGCAAGTCGAAATAATCCGATCAAGCCTCCGTTTATTCTGGAAGTGATTACATCTTTTATAGTCCAAGGGCAGGAGGTGGGACAGGAAGAGGTTAAAGGGATGAATACAACAGGGTCACCATCACATCTGGGTATGTGACGTAAGCAGGAGAGGATTATGGTTAATGTAGGCAGATGCAGTGCCCATAGGGGAGAGAGAGGCAGGGAGGCAGCAATCGGCTGTCGCTCGGCTCCCTACACCCTGTAATACTTGCATTCTCTTGAAAGGCTTCACATTGTCTAGATATGCTTGCTATTAGAGCATGCGAAGTTATACTCAAATAATTCGAAGAAAGAGGCACTATGGCGACTACTATTATGATAGATTATCTGGCGGTGAAACACAATGATGCTTGAATTGCTCAGTTCTGCCCTGCGTTGTTCTATTACACTGTTCTCTCTTATCTCAATCTTCCCCCTATTTTGAAATTAATCTACCTTCTCTCATTTTTTTAATTAAGGGAAAACTAAATTAAAAAATAATGGGATGTATTATAGTAACTTTTTTGTTGTCCTATTAACCTGACTTGAAGCCCAGTATTGCTCTCCCCATCTTGTTCTGTCTGATTATTATATATTCTATTTTGTTTGATACTATCAAGTTTGAGGGTCTAGGCAATCACTTTGAAGGCAATAAGATATACCATGATGCCCAATATGGATTGACTATCATCCTTTTTTTTGAAGTCCTGTAAGGTCCTCAGTGTAGATTTTATTGGTTTTGTTTTGTACTGTTTTGACCAATTCTATTATACCTGATAATATAGACAACTCAATTTAAAAATAGCAAGAGGCACAATGGTAACCACTTTTGATCACCTGGTATTCTATTTTTGCATCATGTGCTATGCCCACCCTTCTGTTCTGACTCTATTTTGCTTAGTCACATTTGGTTTTATTCTCTCCAAAAAAGTAATAAGAACCATGAGAGTAATAAAACCCTAAAACTCTAATTGTTACTGTAAAAAAGAGAGGAAAGTAAGGTGGACTAAGGGATATAACCGCAGGTATGTTCGAGTGTGTAGGATGGAAAACCATAGAACTGAGCTTTTGTTGGATCATTGAACAGAACTGTCTCCAATTTCACTGTATGAATGTTCACTTTATATGCTTTAATTTAGTGATATGGACAACTGTTTCTGGGAAGATAATATGTAACCTATTAACTGGTGATTTCGTACTGTATATAGTTTTTTCTAGAAATACTGTATTATTCGTACCCTTTTACTGCATTTTTTATGTCCTTTCTTTTTTTTCTTCTTCTTTTGCTTCTCTCTTTAAATAATAAAAAGGTTGTATCTTACTGGATTTTATTATATATGATAATATAAGTAAAAAGTCTTATAGACAAGGAGATTATACAGAAACCATTGTTCATTTTCTGTTAATTGGTTCTAAATACCCTGTAATAATGTCATTCTCTTGAATGGTTTTATACTGTCTTGATATGTTTTGTGCTACAGTATACGAAGTTATAGTCAAAGATTTCAAGGAAAGAGAGTATGGTAACTATTTTTATGTCAGGATATCTGGTGGTGAAACACTATTTTGCTTAAATGGTTATGTTTTGACCTGTGCTGTTCTGTAGTTATGCCCTCTTTTATCTCAATGCCCCCCTTTTTTAAATTATTTACTTTTTTTCTTTTTATCTTTTTAATTAAGGGAAAAATAAATTTTAAATAGCAGGATACATTATAGTAACCTACTTTGATTTCCTATTAACTTGATTTGAAATCCTGTATTGCCCTCACCATCTTGTTTTGACTGATTTTCCCCTATTCTGCTTTGCTTGATAGTACCAAGTTCAAAAGTATAGGCAAAACTGTGAAGACAATAAGATTCATTATGATGCCCATTCCGGTTGACTCTTATCTTCTTTTCAAGTCCTATAATGTCTCCAATGCTTGGTTTTATTCTTCACTGTTTTGTTCAATTTTATTATAACTGGAAATTCTTTTTTTATTTTTCTTTTTGTCTTTTTCCTTTTTATCGGTACCAGGGATCGAACTCACGACAGCCTGTTTGCAAGGCAGGCGCTTATGCCGCCGAGCTAAATCCCCAGCCCCATAACTGGCAATTCTTCTTAAAATAGCAAGAGGCAGTATGGTAACCATTGTTGATCACCTTGTATTTTGTTTTTACATTATCTATTATGTCCATCCTTTTGATTTGACTGACTCTGTTCTGATATGTCACATTTGGTTTTACTCTCTTCAAAAAAAGTAATAAGAACTGTGGGAGTAATAAAACCCAAAATGTGTAATTGTCATTGTACAAAAGAAAAGGAAAGAAAGTGCTCTAAAAGTTATAACTGCATATATGTTTAAGTGTATAAGATAGATAACCATGTTACTGAGTTTTATTGGATCATTGAACAAAACTGCACTCTCACTGTTTGAAAGTCCACTTTATATGCTTCAATTTTGTAACTTGAACAACTATCTCTAAGATGAGAATATGTAATCTATTAAGTAGTGATTTCTGACTGTTTATTTTTTAAATTTTGTATTACTTGTACCCTATTTCTGGTTTTTTTTTCTCCTTAAATAAAAAAAGTTTTCCCTTTCATACTCCCACATTGTAAAATTGTCCTCCAGTTTGGATAATCTATCCTTAGATTCTTTCAAGCTGATTTGCCAGCTTTCCATAGAATTTTTAATTTCTTGCTGATCTCTTTGAATCGACTTCATGTATTCTGTATTTTTTATATTCTTCACCAAATGGTTCTCTCCTTTGAGTTCCTCCCTTCTATCTGTGTCTGCTTGAGGGATACTTAATATCTCTTTTATAAATCTTGTTATATCTTGCTTTATTTGGCTAAATATTTCACTTTTGAACTCATCTATGAGGTCCCGAATATATCTCTTTATGTGTACCGGCTCTGTGTGCGATATTGCATGATTGCTGTTCTCATTCTTCTTTGTATTTACCTGTCCTGCGTCAATGTTCTCAGGGATGGAAATGACTCATCGCATGTGAGGAAACGTCAAAGTAACAGTTGCTTTTTCATCACCGATGATGGAGATTCAAAACTATAGGATAACATACTGAAGTACTGAAAGTACATTTAAATAGCCTACCAACCAAATTTCGCTATGTAGCAAACTACCATTCATGGATGAAGTAGAAATCAAGACACTTCCAGTAGGAGCACTACAGATTGTAAACTACAAAATGTAAAATACTGAAATCAAATTCAAATACTAGTAATCTCAGGAGACTGAAAGAATAGAATCAGAAGTTCAAGCCTAGCCATGTGAAAATTAAATTGTAAAAACAACCCCATTTAACATAGTCTGTGAGAGCTGGACATGTAGTTCAGTGGTGGAGTGCTTGCCTAGCATGCACAACATCCTGAGTTCAATCTCCAGTAGCAAGAAAAAATAAATAAATAAAATACGAAAAATAGTCTTCACAGAGGCTGAAGCTGTAGACCAATCATACAGGTGGGCATGAGGTAAGCCTACGTGAACAATGAGCACTCCTGGAAAATTGCTATTCCGGTCCCAAGAACACCAAATCCTTAGGTTGCCATGGATGCAATTACTAGGGATTGTGCTACTACATGATCCTAAGTTGCTAATGTGTAAATAAACATGCGATAATGATGGAGCAGTTCACTTCTTCCCATCCAGTGAGGACTCACCCAGTTTTCCTCTTTTATGTTTCCATCCTCTTGCTGTCCTTCTCCCAGGAACCCTGTAGAGCTGCATCTGGATCCTCATATGGATCCTGAACACGGAATGCAGTAAGATAAAACAGTACGTGAGGAGACACTTCTTATTGTTTTGCCAAAAGCAGGGAAAAGTGGGTCCATAGCATCAATAGTCACCATAGGAGAGGCTGGGGATTTAGCTCAGCAGCATAACCGCCTGCCTTGCAAGTGTGTGGTTGTAAGTTCGATCCCTGGTACCGAAAAAAAAATGAAAAGCAGAAGAAAAGTAGTCACCATAGGAGTGTAGTGATATTGACATCATCAGGTATTAAACTTGGGGCAAAGAAAAAATGGGTTCACTAGGACCAAAAGAACTAAACACGCTTGAGAGAAACTAAAACATAACAGGTGCTTTGGTATTAACAGTTAAGCATGAGGCAGGGTATCAAAAATCACTCATGTGTATGGGTCTGTTTGTTATACGCTCCATTCCTATATTGACTTTCCTTTTGTGATTTTGATTAGAGGGGGTCTTACAACCATTAAGGATTTGACTTGGCGCATTATTTTAAATTTATTACAAGCAGGAAGAGGACGGTGAAACAACAGCCAACCAGATAACCTTACCAGAGCCACAAATGATAATTTCTGCCTTCTCAACTCAGAGAAATTTTGGTATAACACAGGCTGAGATTTCCACCCTTCAAAAACTAGAATCATCTTTAAGTTATTTGTCCAACAATTGGCCTTTAAGAATATCGATGAATCCTGCATTGATACCCCTCCTTATGTACAAGGAGCTGCCCTGGCAACAGCTTTCACTCAGGTAATCCATCCCCAGCCTAGAGGAAAGAGAAAAAACAAAGTTACCTGTTTCACCTGTGGATGGGAGGGTCATTTTGCCTGAAAGTGTTCTGCTGCACCTGTAAGGGCAGCACAGCCAGTAACTGTCCCTTCAACAAAACCTCGTACTATCTGTCCAAAGTGCACATGAGGACATCACTGGGCCATTTGGTGTAGATTCTAAAGTTATATGGAAGGCCAACCTATTCCAGGAATCTCCCCATAAGGGACTGCCACAGCTCAGCTAACAGTAGGGGTGCTACGGCTTGGAGAGCTTCCCAGAGGTAGCACAGCCCTGCTCAGATTCCTAGTGGTTGGGGGTAATATGGCCCTGATTTGTGGTTTGCTGATTTTTCTGTAAAAATATTCTCACAGTCGACAATTTCCAATAAGTGATAAGAAACTAAACAAATTTAAAACTTCCAAAAATTCAACATTTGGTTTTCACAAGCTGCTGATAAGCTGCCTCCAGCATATCACTGTCTCACTGTGGCTTGTAGTAAGTCTAGATAATGTAAGTTCTCAAACACTGTTGTTCTTCAAAATTGTTGTTTACTTTAGGGTACGTGATTCAAATTCACAAGCAATATAACTGCATTTATTTGGGTCTTTTTTGCTATCTCCCATCAATTTGTTAGTTTTCAATACACTGACACTGCATGTATTTTATTAGTCATATACATATAAGTGCTACATGGTTTCTTTGTGTTGCTATAAATCTTTTATAAATTCACATGTAAAGTAAAAAAGGAGGCCATGGCTACAGAGGCAGCAACCGCCATGTGCTTTAAGGAGAGGGAGGTGCCAGTGACAGGCCCCATACCTGGCAGCAAGGCAGAAATTGACTTCCCTCCCAGTAACTGTCACTGAAGTGACAAAGAAGGAGACCAAGGGAAACAGCTCTCCCCACAGGCTGACCAGCTGCTGCTGGGAAGGCAGCTTGCACACAACCTCTGTGGTGAAGCAGCAGCCTCAGCTAGAGGTGGAGCTAAGAGTGGGAGCCCAGGCTCCCTAATACAGGACATGGTTTTTTTCTTCTGCACTAAATACAAAATTTTAAGCCGTAATTAACTCTTTCATTCAGACAGTGCTTACGTTTGCAATATGATGTGCCACATAAAAACTGCCACCATTTGTACCAACCGGGAAGATCTTTTTCATTTATTTCACACTCTCCAATTTGTCTTACAGTCACATCATATTCTCTGTTTAATTGCTCATTTATGTTCTCATTCCCACTTGCCAGGGCCCCTCATTGAGGAAAATGCTACAAAAAAGAGATTGTTAGCTGCTGTTACTGTTAGTCCCTCAGATGCCATTCAACAGGCTAAAATTGTTAAATATGCTCACCATACACTCAAAATACAATGACAATAACAAAAGGGGGAAATTTTACAAAATTTACAACACATGTTAGTCTTCACTTAGCACATAGACTAGTAACTCTAAAAGTCCTGCTAAGGATCAAAATACAGCGGCAAAAAGACATTTCAAAAAAAGAAAAAAAGCTGGAATGGTCCTTTGGAAATATCTTCTTACTAGACAATGGAAAGTTCACAACTCAGTGCTATATGGGGTCCAGGCTATGCTTGCGCCTTTCCAGAGAATGCTCAATGGCTTGTCTGGGTACCAGAGCATGCTGTCCAGCTGTATCATGGACCCATACGTAGAGAAGTAGTTGATTCTGTCACTCAAGAAACTCATGCTCAGTCCTATGGCAGTGAGCCTCAGCGAACACACCACAGATGATAGAGAAGGATGGGGCTAGAATCCACATGGGGCCAATTAAAGAAACTGACCCAGAATGCCCAGGACACGGTATCCAAACATAGAAATCAAACGTCTGAGTAAGTGACTGAATGTATAGAGATAACTGAGCTGAAACCTATGTGAAAGAGATGCAAAAGTCACTAGTATTCTTAAGACAAAATAGAATACAACAATGTATATTGATTATGGATAAAAGATTTTATTCCTTCCAAATTCTTGTACAAGAGATCTTTGCTAATTGACATACACAAAATCTGACTAGTCTATTGCTAAAACTTCTAAAATGGTAAAAAAAAAAATTGAATTAGTTTGAGCAAAATAGATTCAAGTGCACTCTGATTCTGTAAGATGTTTGTTTCTCCAGTCTGTTTAGCTGGGTACTTCTTTGTGTGTTTGTCATATCCATGCACAGCTGTTTTTTCTTTAAGCTCAACAATATTTTCTCTTTTCTTTTGCATTTTTGAATCATTTGTTCATAATATAACTAGGGATATGGATTTAAAAAGCATGCTTCTGCGTGGCTTGCCAACTGGTCAAAATAATTAAAACTGGTTGTATAAATGTAACATATATTGTTGTTCATTATGACTTGAGAGTCTCTCGTTCAAAAATGTGTTAAATGTTGTGACTGGATTCTCATGGGTCATCAAAAAATTAACATATTAAACAGAAATCCCTTTCGTTGGAGTGGCAGTCGTACGAATAAATCCTGATGAACAACACGTGCTGATGCTGTGGAAGGATGTCTAAGTGAGTAACAGGCCACCTACACATCAGTGGTCTCATAAAAGTTTAATTACACTGAAAACTTCCTACTCATAAGGACACAGTACTTACTGTGTTACAACTGTGATTACCGTTTAGCATAGGGAGAAGTTGTAAAGTGGGTGTGATTCATGCCTATAATCCAAACATTTTGGGATAGTGTCTCAAAATAAGAGATTAAAAATTATGAGGGACATGGTGGTGCATGCCTGTAATCTTAGCACTCAAAAAGCAGAGGCAGGATGATTGCTTCAAGTTTAAGACCTGCATGGCCTACAAAGTGAGCTCAAGATCAGCCCGAACTTCCTAGGAAACCCTGGCTCAAAAAAGTGAAAAAAAAAATTACTTGAAGATACAGCAGTGTGTGAAGGCTGTGAAGTCAATTCCTAATATAAATGAAATGAGGAGGAGGAGCAGCTAAAGGTGGAGGATGAAGAAAAGGACCAATAGAGGAAGGGGCAATAGGGGAAGGAATGGTGGGGGGCAGAAAAAAGGAAAGAGAAGTCCTGTAAGAGTTTCTAGCTCAGGAAGACAGGCTGCCATTCAGCCTCGGTGTGACTAGGCTACACTATCTAGGTTTGTATAAGTCTACTCTAGAATTCCACCCAGCCAGCAAATCCTCTAACAATGCCATTTTCACAATATATGCTTCACAGAAAGGCGCCCATGATTCTATATGGCCAAATGATTTTCAGGAAATTTGGCAAAACCATTCTCCTGGGAAAGGAAAGCCTTTTGAGAAAACGTTGAGAACAGGAACAACATGCATGAGAATGAAACTGGAAGTTTAGCTATCACCCTACTCAAAAATTAACTTTAAATGGGTCACACCTCTGACTGTATGAGTTCAAACTCAAAACTCTTAGAAGAAAATACGAGACAGAATCCACACTGGGATCTATTATGTTGTCCTTGGTAGCACACCAGCAGTAATAGCAAGAAAACATGGGACAAAACCCACATTGGGATTGGCTACCTTGTACTGCATAGGCACCAAGAGCAAAAAGGAAGAAAGAAAAATTGGATTCATGAGGATTAAAAACTATTATGTCTCCAAAGTCACTAATGTCTACAGCCACAAAACCCTGAACATGCTTGATCTCATCTGATGTCACTATCAACAGAGAAAACAGGCTGTTATGATTTCTGCCGGGATGTCCCCGCAAAGCATCATACAGTCTCAGGGGTCAGGTTTTTCAGAGGCAGCTGAATCTAGAGTTTGTGGTTGTCTAGGGCTGGGACTGGGGGTATGAGTGCTATCTATACCTACCTTAGTGGGCAGCCTCCACACAATAAAATGCAGGAAAAAGATCTCCCCCACTCCCATTGCTGTTTCTGTCTTCTGCCACAATGAACTGCTGCCCCTCTATAATCCCACCCTGACTTGGAGGCAGCTGATATGGACTGAAACCTCCAAAAAGCTCCCTTAACTTTTGGTGTCAGGTATTTTGTCTCAGCAATGAGAGAAAAGTAACTAAGATAGAAATTGGGACCAGAGAAGGAGGGTAACTGCTATGACTTTACCTTAGTATGTGGTTCCGAAGCCTTTGGGAATGGCTAGTCAGGATAAATTGGAAAGATGCTAGCTGAAAAACAGATGGAATGCCTTAGACTGTTGTGTATGGGAGATTCTGGTCAGAGCTCAGAAGACTAGAAGGCTGATAAAAGTCCTGTTAAGACCAGGCTCTGGAGGTTTCTGCTGGGAAGGACTGCACTGGCTGTTGGACTCCTGACCAAATGAGTTATGGCTTGGCAAAAAGTTTATCTACATTTTGCTCATGTCAACTTTGCCTGAGGCTGAAATTAAGGGAGGGGGATTAATTAATGTGGAAGAAGAAATTTCAAGGGAGTCTAATGTTGAGGGTACTGTTAGGGGCTTTTAGCCAGATTTATGTTAAGGATCAGTAACAAAGAGCCCAGAAGAATGATTTAAAATGCTGTGAGTTGTCCACAAAGGAAGCCCCAGTAAAGCTGTGGATCACAAAGAAAGAGCTGAGGAGATCTTGATTGCCAAAACAAAAACAAAAACAAAAAACAGGATAATAACAAAGGTAGACTGACAGCAACACAGGAAGCAGCAAGTCAACACACTTTGCAGTCTCAAAATTGTAAAAGTGAAACACTTTGCTTTAAGCAACCCATGGTACACCATGGTCCAGAAGAGTAGCAGCCCAGAGGATTTATTCCTCAGAATTGGATAAGGAGTACTCAGCAATACAGGCACTTGAACCTTATAGCCAGGAGTGAAAAAAGCCTGGCAATAGCTCCAGCTGGCAAAGAGTTTGGCATCATCCACATGGTACTTGTTTGAGGTGCATACAGAACATCTGAATTGTGGGGTTAAGAAGGCTCCCACCTTCATTTCAGAAGGCTTTTGAGGTCATTGGGACCCTGAGAGGGCTGTGCGTAAAGTTGTAGGTGTGAGGCCAAAGTTGCAGTTGAGATGCCAGAAGTTTGGAAAAGTCAGAAACATGGATCACTTGAGGAAAACTGCAAGGACGGAGCAGAGATGGCCCAAGAAACAACCTCTGGAAGCTACACCCACAGGACATGCCACAGAAGCAGAGCCACACAACACTTTTGGAGCTTACAACTTAACAGACTGCCTCAGAAGCTACATGTGGAACCACAGGGCTGAATGTTTGGCCTGATGGGTTGGGGACTTGCTTTAATCTCATTTCTTTCTATCCCTGTTTGTAACTTCTGGAATGAAAATGTCTATCTCGTGCCATTGACTTTTGGATGCTTCTTTTAATTTGTTCAAGGGCTCACAACTAAAAGTTTGCCTTATATCTTACAGGAGACTTAGGATTTGAAGTTTTCAGCAATGGTATATTTGATTTTGGTAATTATAGAGATGTACTAAGTGCCTTTTGCATAAATGGATGTGCATAAGTCTTTGGAGGGCCAGGGCCACAGTGCTATGGTTTGTCTCTGAATGTCCCACCAAAGCCTCATGCAATCTTGAGCGTTAGAACTTTGGAGGCAACTTAATGTAGAATTAGCGATTGGTTCATTGTTCAGTGCTGGGACTGTGGTTATGAGTACTATACACATCCTAAGGTGGGTAGCCTGCAGGCAGCAGAAGGGAGGAAAAGAAGCTTGCTTCTCCCCATGCGCCTTTTGCCCTTGTTGCTGTTACTGTCTTCTGCTGCCATGCAATGTTGCCCCTCTGCCATGTCACACTGGCTTGAGCCACCTGATTATTGACTGAAACCTCAATAAGCTAATAAGCAATTCCTCATTCCTGATGGGCAGCTGGGAAACCTAAGCCAAAGCCATGGCAGAAACTTCCTGGTAACAGTGATTTGGTATAGCAGCATTTATAGGGCACATCCTACAGTTTCTTCCACTACTGTGACCTAGTGGGGTTTCAGGCTGTCTGATTCTGACCCAGGGGGAGATGGTTAGTAAGCCACTGAAGTCAACTATGTGCATGCTCCATGCGATGAGGTCGGATCTTTGGACACAGGGTCAGCTGAGCCTCCCTGATGAGCAGTAAATCTGTGTCCTGCCTTGTGGCTGGAGATCTCATCATCTGCACGACTTTCCTCAGATAGCATGGCAGAATGCTTGTGCCTATCTTCCTGGACTCTGCCCAGTGTGACTCTGACTGATGCAGATTTTCATCTTTACCCTCTCCTCGTCCTAAATATAACTGTGAGAGTAATGGCCTTTCTAGTTCTGTGAAACCTAGCACTTCACTTAATATGAGTAGGGTTGTGGGGATGACCAGTATCATCCGTCAGTCAGCCAAAGATTACAGAGATTCAGAGCAGAAACCTGTTCACCCTTAACCCCTATCTGAGACCCGAAGAGCCCAGAATGTTGTCTGGGGCTGGGAACAACTCAGAGCCAGGGCTAAGTCTCAGGGGTAACACGGGGTGAATTATGAACAACTGAGCATCTGTAAACCCACTGGATTTTCCTGGAATCCAGTGGCCAGGACAGCATTAGGGTTCACATAGAAGAGCAGCTATGGATACATCAGGGACAAGGGCTAGCTGCAGGGTGAGACCCACATACCAGTTTGTAGTCACAGAGGATTTTATTTCACTTCATGTGCCCAAATTCAGCAAAGCTCAGTTTCTGTCCTTTAGCGGGACACAGCACAGAGCTCGTAGGGGGAAGGGCTGTTCAGGATAGCAAAGACACCTTGGTCGCTGGGTCGGGGCTGCCCCTCAGGCACCGAGAAGCTGAAGCGCTGCAGCAGGCAGGTGAAAAACAGGAAGAGCTCCATGCGGGCCAGGGGCTCCCCAAGGCATGCTCGGCGGCCTGCAGATGGCATGGGGCTCAGTCTGGGCCCTGGACTCTGCTTCTCAAAGGCATCCTTGAGAGGGATCAATGAGCCAGGCACCCCAAAAATACCTGCTGAGAATGGCATGAAGGCTTCATGCTTCACAAAGTGGCCTTCAGCATCCAGGAAGTGTTCCGGGTGGAAGTGGAAGGGCTTCTCCCAGACAGTCTCATCTTTCAGCACAGACGACAGGTTGACAGTTAACCCTGTCCCCTGCCAAAGGATGACTGGTAGGAAGGTGGATTCCGATAGGGCATACAAGTACCTCTGCCACAAGCACACACAAGCATACTCTTCCAGGTACACAAATGGACCCTTTCAGTGAATCCTCAGCCCTGGAAATTTCTCAGCACCCTCCATAATGCCATGGCACGTCCAAGTGGTAAGGCTCCCTGGTGTCCCATTACCACCTATTTCTCTGAGTAGCTGCTCCACCAATACACTTGTTTTAGCTTTCATTCTATCATCCCAGGGGCCCTGCGGGGACAGGGTAATACTCTCTGCAGTCAGCATCATGTACACCCACATTGATCCTGGTAGCACCTATAGAATCCTGGATTGGGTGGCTTGGGTGCTACCTGGCTCACCTGGGAGTGCCCATGCTGGGGAAGGAGGGCCTCAGGCCTACCTTGGGGATGAGGAAGCCCTGCACCTCAATGTCACGTGTTGCCATGTGGGGTAAATTGATTGGGATGATGTCTCCAAAGCGCTGCACCTCATGAATCACGGCGTTGGTGAAGGGCATGCGGGCCTGGTCCGCCATCTCTGGGCGCCGCCCTTGTCCTATCACTTCATCGATCTCCTGTTGTACACGGCCTGCACAGACAAGAGTCCCCATGGACAGTTAGTGCCCAGTGACTGTTCCCTGGCCTTCTCACCCTCCACCAAGGGCTGTGTCCAGTGAGAAGGGCATCGTGCTTACAAGACCTTGGAAAGTTCATGGTATCCATGAACTCAGCTTGCAGACCCTACTGCTACCTTTCCTCCCTCACTCTCCCCCCATCCGTGTTCGGCTCACGCTGCACATCCGGGTGCAGGATCATGAGCAGCAGGGCCCAGGCCAGCGTGGTCGAAGTGGTCACCATCCCTGCCGTGAACAGGTCACCCACAACCAGGCGCAGATTCGCATCATTGAAGCTGCTCTCGGGGTTCCCCTTGGCCTAGGCCAGCCAGAGAGGGCAGGTTCAGAGGGAAGAGGAAGGAAGTTGCTAAAGGACCCCATCTGTACCATATACATAGGTGCTGAGTACTGCATTAAACTCAGACCCTAGAGACCCCAGAACCCACCATATATCATACCTCACAACAGCTTCAACCTACAGTCCTTAATCCCTCCCTTAGAATCAGCACTTCACCTTGTCCACCTCAAACAGGAAGGCATCCGTCAGATCTCGGGGTGGCTGGCTCAGGTCGAGTGTTGCCCTGTGCTCTGTCACCAGCTCATCCATCAGGGCCAAGAATGCCTTCTGTGCGGGAAAGACCCTGCCAGCTACTCCTGGGATGCGTAGGAGCACCGGGAATGAATTCAGCACCTGTGACAGTCACAGAGAGAACCTAGGACCTGCCTGGCCCCACTGGTGGCCTGCTCCTTGCCAAGTGCCAGGCTCTATACTCTCTCCTGGCCCTAGGATGCCACAACTAACAGCCTACCCTGGAAATCTCATTGGCTTTAAAGGTAGACAGGAGGCAGTATTTGACCCTCTCTGGATCTGCCTGAGCAATCTCTCCCTTTAGTGTTGTCCAAAATTTTCCACCCTGGGCTTTCCTCCTGAAAAGGCCTCTCAGATTCCCTCTACCCGGGAGCCCTCACAACTACCCTTCCCAATGGAGACCCTGTGCACAGAGCAGTCTCTGTGGGATTCCCATGAGCCCCTCACCTGGGGGATCAACTCAAGGCCCTCCTTCACAGTTTCTGCCAGCAGGTCCAATACCCTGCTCAGGAGTGGGTCATCATACTCGAAGCGACGTGCATAGATGAGGGAGGCGATCACATTGCACACTGCTTTGTTCAGGAGGGTATTTGGTCTAAATGGGCATCCTGGAACAAGCATACGGATTGGTGGGTCCCTGTTGTCGCCTACTCCCGTCACATTATACATTTTTTGTGTGTAGAGCCCACCACTCACCGTCCTGGGTGGCAAAGGCAGCACACAGGCAGGCGGCCTCCTCATTCACCCACTGTTCCAGCGACTTCTTCCCCAGGCCGAAGTTGCGCAGGGTGGACACAGAGAAGCGCCGCTGCTCACGCCAGGCGGGTCCATAGGGTGCCATGATCACGCCTGGTTAGGATGCAGGCATATGTGCAATATGCTCATGACTAATTCTATCTCGCTGTGTCCTTTACGTCTCCCCATCATTCTTCTCTTTCTAAGGGTAGAGACTCAATCCTGACACACCACCAACATTTCCAGGTTCCATTTCTAGGCTTCATCCCAAGAATGTGTTGGCTTTTCCTTGTGTCCCTTGATCACATCACTGCCCGAGTAGACCCTGCCAATCTTTCCCTTCACCACTGCCTCCCATGCCCCATCACCCTTACCTTGGGATCGTGGTCCGAAGCCCATGTGTTCATTGATGGGCACTGGTGGACGGTCTGCGGTGTCCTCGCTGTGGTTCACTAGCACCTCACGCACAGATGCCAGCCCATTGAAGACAACTATTGGGTTCCAGGCCAGCTGCAGGCTAAACACGTCCCCAAAGCGGCACCTTAACTAGAGGTGGAAGGGTTGGATGCTCAGTGACTTAAGGTATCCATGAAATTTGAGGAACTATTCTCATTGCAGGACACCCTCTCTAGCCCTTGGGGACCTAGGTGAAGCAGAGCAAAAATGAGACTTGGTGGCTTTCTGTTTTTCTTCATGGCAGCGCAGGTACAACTCAAAGCCTCATCTGTGCTGTGACAATCACTCTCCCATGAAGCACCACTCCAGCACAACATCTGCCATTATGATGCTGGGGCCATGTCCTCAGAGGTCAAAGATTCACTGTACATTCAGATCCCACCACCCCCTTATGCCCTGAGAGGGTCACAGAACTGTGAGTAGGGTTCTCCACCATCCAATTTTATGGACGAGGAATCTCAGGATCACCGATGTGAGCACTGAGGCCCCAATTCACAGCAGCGTAAGACCTGAGCAGGTATGGCCCTGGTCTCAACCTCAATTTCCCAACTGAAATGCTGCTCAGCTCCCTGGCCCACTCCCCTTAATGGGAAACCAGCAGAATGTACACAGGGCATACACAGCTTCCACTGCGGCTATCTGCGGGCCACAGCTGCTGCAACGTCCTGCTTCATTTCCTGGATTTTGTCCTCCACATTTTGCAGTGAGAAAGTTCAGTGTCCTGCTGTGCCCTTCACCTCCACTTCATTCTTCTCTTGCTAAGAGTGCCGACTCTGTCCTGACACATCACACACTCAGTCTCCTGGGGTGCAGCCTTCCCAGGGAAACCTCATAGAGTAACTCGGGCCTGTCTGGCCTATGGCTTTGCCTGCCACCAATTGTCGGCTACAGGGAGGTCACCATGTTCTCTTCTCCCCTCCTACCATTTCCCTTACCTTGTAGAAGGAGTATGGTATATTGTGCAGGTCCAGCTGCAGCAGGTTTCCCAGCCCAGGCAGTGCCACAGGGCCTGGCGGGTAGCGAGCACCCCAGCGTTGGCGCCGGTGCATCAGGTCCACCAGGAGCAGGAACACAGCCACGGCCAAGGCCACAGTGAAAAGTGCATCCACAGTCAGCAGCCCCATGGTGCCTGGCAGACCACCGAGTCCTCTGCACACAACCAGTGGCCCTCACTGCTCCAGGCACCTAGGACAAGGCAGCACACCCTTACCACTCCCTGCAAATGTAGCAGCTTCCCTTCTACACAAGCCTGGGCTGCACTTTGCCCTGTGCTGGGAGCCAACCTACTCTGTTGATTGCAGCCAAAGGCTAGAGGGAGTGGCTAGGGCACAGCAGACACAGGGGAAACTACAGCTGTATCTAGCCATCCTCTCATTTCTAGCTCATACCCAGGGGCGCAGGCACATGGACAGAACTGAACAGAAGCTCAACATGTCTTAGTGCTGCGTTGGGTACCATGGGATGGCTCAAAGTGGAAAAGTGTCTTCCAGGATGCATGTCAACTTGCTTCCTTTTAGAGAGACTAAGGTCCATATCCCAGAGGAGGTGGAGAAAAGTCAAGGGCTGGCATGCCAAGCCAGTAGCACTTTGAGAGCAATGGGGGAAATTCCTCAGGTTGTTGAATGCATCAGGCTGGGATAGTTTTTTGAAGGCTTCATGGAGAAACTGGAGAGACACTCAAACTAAGACAGTGTCCCAGGCCACACAGCCAAGTGAGGAATCCGACAGCTAAAGAGGATGGACTCACTTTAGTGGACGGGTATCCAACCTTTAGGCTCATCTGGGCCACACTGCTTGAAGAGTTGTCTTAGCCTGCATTTAGCTATTAGTACAGTCAACAGATGTACGTAAGCAAGTGACCTTTTCAGTATTTTATTATAGCACTAAAAAGGGCCACATGAAAGCTAGGGGCATATTTGACCGTGTTTTAGGAAAAATAATGCATCACTGTCTGGGCTGACCAAGTGGTTCCAATTCTTACAGATTTCTCTAGGTGCTTGTCAGAAGTTTTTGATCTAATTTCATTTTTCAACACAGTTGTTCACAAATGTCCATAATGTTAAAAAGTGACTATGTGAGTCAGGCATGACAGTGAGGGAGGCCTGAGTGTGAAGAGAGGTCTCTGGGAGGAGAGGTCTTAGAGGAGCTGGCAGGGAGACCTGATCAAACTTTTCTTTCAAGTGAACACTGCTTGCAACTTTATACTGTCCAAAAATTAATATGTACGCAAGCTTTTGAGCAGTAGCAATATATGTGTAATTTGAACAAGGTCATGAACACTTGATAGACTTTTTGTGCTTCCTATATTACAGCTACTAAAAAGTATTTTTACTTATTAAAGTATCTTAGAAAATAGGCAGAGGATGCAGTTCAGTGGCACAGTGCCTGCCTGGCAAGCGCGAGGCCCTGGGTTTCATTCCTGGTACAAATAATAATCAAAATAATGACAAGTCTAAGTTGCAAATTTAAATTAGACAATACACTTGATCTTAGTGAACAGTTGAGAAGTGATGATAATTAAATATGAAAACTTCCCTGAGTGCTTAATAATAATAAATGCCTGTCTTCACAGGAATATAGTCATTTACTCAGTTGGAATACTATTGTGGGACCTTAGACAGGGGTCACTGTTTTCTTGGTCCTTCCCTCAGGAAATCACCCACCTGGGAAGGCAAGTCACCCTTGAGAAAAACATTACAGAAGATTTTCAGCAAAACTCAATACGTCAGATGAGTCCCGGTGACACAGTTCTCCAACTGAGAAGGGAAGATGAGCTTGCTATGTACAGAAGCATCAGAAACAGTGGTCTGCAAGCCTGGCCAATGGTCAGTCACAGTCACGGGGATTTAGCGTCTTAGGCTAAAGGACTCATCTCCCAGCCAGGTCATGAGCCTTAGGAACTATGCCTGGGACCATTTTCTCCACAGAACTGAGCAGCACATGCCATATAGACTGCACTGGAGGACAAGGTCTGCAGCCAAGACACCGAGGGGGACAGCTGACAGCATTCTCGGAAACACTAACCAGATGGCAAGTTCTACAAACTGCACGTTCAAAAGCATTCAGATCTACTCTTTCACCTAATAGTCAACATTTAAAGGCAAAAGTCTGGGCTCAACCTCATAGCCCAGTCCTACCAATGTCCACTTTTCTTTTCCCCTGTTCCATGATTCAAACTCAGGACCTTGTGCTTGCCAGGCAGGCTCTGTGCCACTGAGCTACATCCCCGGCCACCTCTGTAAACTTCTGCCCTTAGGAAGTTGCCTGCATGTCTCACCACTATCCATACACACTGCCTATGCCTGAGGGCTGGTGTCACCCGAGTGAACTTTATATGCTACTCTTAACTCAGATGTCCACTATTCAGAGCCCTTTGCCAGAACACAGCCATAGTAAGGGCACATTCTTTGACTTCCTCAGCAAAAAGCTGTAGTTGATGACCGAAGATTTAGACTGAAAAAGTAGTTTGTCTACAGCTGCTAGAGTCCAAGTTTTCTTCTGCTCTTTCCATTCAACTCCTGTTTCAGGATAACTGGCTGCAGTTCCCTCCTCCCTGTGATCTGACAGCCAGGAGACAGTCACTTAGGAGCTTGGACTGCTTCCTCAGCTGGGACAATGACCCTAGGGTAGTACCTCCCTGGATGACAGGTAAGAATTCAGCAAGCAGGTCTGAAGGACTGAATACTTCTGCAAGCAGGGAGGCATCGCAGCTTCCTGAGGCACCTCAGCCTGTGGTGAGTGCCCAGCACAGTCTGCCCAAATCTCAGACTGTTCCGGACCCCCCAGGCTTCTGGGTGCAGTGAAGTGGAGCAGTGGGTTAGAGGCCACTACAGCTGCCTCCCCATCCCCCCCCCCCTGCTACACTTGGAAGTCTGCTGAGCTCCTGACGGATGGGCGGGCCTACACTAACCCCCGAGCCCAGCCGCACCTAGCCATCTCCTGCAGAGGAGGAGCTGGGCGGATCCAGAGTCCCTACAGAAGCCCTTTCCTTTGTCTGAAGGACTGAATACTTCTGCAAGCAGGGAGGCATCGCAGCTTCCTGAGGCACCTCAGCCTGTGGTGAGTGCCCAGCACAGTCTGCCCAAATCTCAGACTGTTCCGGACCCCCCAGGCTTCTGGGTGCAGAGAAGTGGGGCAGTGGGTTAGAGGCCACTACAGCTGCCTCCCCCCCAGAGGACTGTGGATATCTCTGCAAGCAGGGAGGGAACACAGGCTCCTGAGGCACTGCGGCCTGTGGAGAGCACCCTAACCCGGCTGCAATTGAAGAGCTGTGGATCTTCCAAGGGGCAGGTGGGCGCACAGTGTCCCTGAGGCCCAGCTTGTCTGGAACTGCGGAGTTCTGAGCAGGCAGAGGAGGGACACTGGTTCTGCAGGCCCAATGGCTTGGGGTAGTGCGGTGTCAGAGTCTCAGTAGCTCCAAGCATAGAAGGGGATTTTCAACAGATCCTGAGGAAGCTTTCAAATAACACTTGAAACACAGAAATATACAAAATGACAAAACGAAAGACCAAATTACAACCTCAAACCTCCAGCCCATCTCAGGAAACCCTAGGAGCAATGTATATAGAAGAAAATATATCCCATCCACCTTATATATCGGACATAATAGCTACTGAAGTTGACAAACAACTCCAGGAAGCTTTAAAGAAATTCAAGCTCGAAATAATCTCCCAGATAAAAGAAGAAATGATAAAAGAAATGAAAGAGATTCTAAATATATCTAAAGAAAACACAGATAAAAAATTGGAGGAACTAAACAAAAAGATAGAATCCCTAGACGAGCAATATAAGAAACAAACAGAATACATAATGCAGATGCACAGAGATATACAGGAAATAAAAAACTCCACTGAAAGTTGTAAAAACCACCTTAATGAAAGTGAAGATAGAATTTCAGACCTTGAAGACATGATTGCAGCTAGTGAACAGGAAAGGAAAGATCTTTTGAAAATAACAAGGAATCAGGAAACAACAATTCAACAACTGCAAGACGATGCAAAGAAGAATAACATAAGAATGATAGGGATTAATGAAAGAGAGGGAGACAACATAAAGGATGTCAAGAGGATATTTAGAGAAGTAATAGCTGAAAATTTCCCAAGCATGAGATCAGAAACTGACATCAAGATCAGTGAAGCATATAGAACTCCAAACACTCATAACCAAAATAAAACTACACCCAGACATATAATAATCACCATCCCAGAAATCCAACACAAGAATAGATTACTAAAAGCTGTCAGAGAGAAAAGACAGATCACTTATAAAGGAAAACCTATCAGAATCACAGCAGACTTCTCAGCACAAACGATAAAGTCAAGAAGAGCATGGAGTGAAATATTCCAGATCCTAAAGCAAAATGATTTCCAACCAAGACTGATATATCCTGCAAAACTATCATTCAAAATAGATGGTGCAATACGATACTTCCATGACAAAGAACAGCTGAAGAACTTCATGAACACCAAACCGACCCTGCAAAAAATATTGAAAGACAGTTTAGATACACAAAGGAAAAAACCACTAAGCAAAGCAAATAATTAAACAGAACAGAAAGATAAAGATGCAACAGCAGAGAGATAACATTCCTACAATTAACCAGCATTTAACAGTAATAACCATTAATGTAAATGGTCTCAATGCACCAATCAAAAGAAACAGACTAGCAGAATGGATCAAGAAACAAAATCCAACCATATGCTGTTTACAGGAAACCCATCTAACCCAGAAGGATACTCACAGACTGAAAGTCAAAGGATGGAAAACAATTCTTCATGCAGCAGGAATCCAGAAAAAGGCAGGAGTAGCCATTCTGTTTGCAGACAACGTGAACTTTAAACCAACAATGACCATAAAGGACAAAGAAGGTCACTACATACTTGTAAGGGGAAAACTCCAAGAGGAAGAGATAACTATCTTAAATATATACGCACCAAACTCCAGAGCACCAAGTTATATAAAACAATTATTAACAGAAATGAAAACTCAAATTATCAGTAACACAATTGTAACAGGAGACCTTAATACGCCATTGACACCAAGGGACAGATCAACCAGACAGAAAATGAGCAAAGAAATAACAGAACTGAATCATACCTGTGAACAAATGGGTTTGATAGACATATACAGGATGTTCCACCCAACAACATCGGAATACACATTCTTCTCAGCAGTACATGGATCAT